AGACGTTCCTTTGGGATCGTCAGCTTCCATTGCCTGTACAGAGCCGCCTTCACAACGGAATGGCGGCTCGAAAAAACTCCGTTTCCATGAGGAAACGGAGATAGAGCCGGCAGGGGTGGGTAGAACTCTCTGCGGAGTCCCAAAAGTTTTTCTTTTACTTTTGGGACGGAGCGGATGAGATGCCCCGTATCCCCAGCCGCTGCTCCGGGCTTTGGGAGACCTCTGCTAATGCAGAGCCAGGCGTCAAAAAGCAAGCCTACAAATTTAACAGACTACTCAAAGAAAACGTGAGCTGGACCTGTAATACTGAACCGCAAGTATTTTACTGATTTTTAAAAAAAAAAATACTTAAGAGAGAGGAGGAAAAGAAAGAGGAAAAAAAGCCTTTTAAAATGGCGTCGGCTGGAGGAGAGGCTGAAAGGGAAAGTCCTTCTGTTTTCTATTACTACAATGTAGCGGAATAAATACCACTGGCTACATTTGTAGACAAAACTTCGCTCCTGTGTCTTTTTCTCTTTTTTTTCCCTTGGAGACTTGATATTGTTGTTGATTGGAAAGCAGTCTTTTTTTTTTTCTTGCTTTTTTTTTTTAACAAAGCCTGCCTGGGCGGAAACATGGCACTGAGACTCATAAAGTCAGATAAACAAGAAGGGGGGGGGATTCCCCCACCAACAACTTAAAGGAACAAGTCTTAACTCTTCAGTCTCAGAAACCTGATTTTAATATAATAGAATTTTTTATAGAGGAGATTGAAAGAAGGGAGGAGATTGTGAATCAGCAACTTGAAAAATTTAAGCAGGAAATTAAAGAATTGGTGAAATCTAAGTTTGATTTTTTGGAGAAAATTTTTTTAAAAGTGGCTAATGGTTTTACAGAATTTATGATACAGTTGGACACAAATACTAATGTACTAGAGTCTAAAATGGAAGAAACTCAAGATAAATTGGACAATAGAATTCAGAAAATTGAAAATGATTTGACAAACACTCAGGATAATAGCTTAGAAGAAAAACCTAAAATGGATGCTGATCAAAAGTATGGTAATGCAGAAAATCTGCAACAGAAGATTGAAAAAGAGATTTTAATGGTACAATATAATTTCACAGAATACGCGATAAGATTAAGAGGTTTGCAGGAAAATAATAGAGATGATTTAAGGAAAATATCTTCTGAAATTCTAGCTGGGATTCTAAAGGTTCAACCTGAGGAAGTGTTTTGTAGGATTGACAGAGTTTATCGAATAAACTCCTGGATTGCCAAGCAAAGGCAATTGCCTAGAGATGTGGTGATTTATTTTATAGATAAAGAAATTAGGAATAATATCGTGCAAAATTCCTTCAATTCTAATTTGCAATTGTATGGAAGAAAGATTTGGATTTACAAGGAACTCCCACCTAAGATATTGATGGAAAGGAAGAAATTTGGTTTTCTGGTAAATGAGTTAAAAAAGAGAAATATCCCATTCAGGTGGGACGCCCCAGTTGGTATTATATTTAGATACCAAGGAGAAAGATATCAGCTAAATACTGTTGAAAGAGCGGAAGAATTTTATCAAAATAGGTTGAAAATGAACTTAACATCTTCAGGTATAATACAGGATAAGCAGAAGGAGCTGGAAATAAAGGTAAAATATCGAATTACAGAGACTGTACCAGATGAATTGCCTTTGGATTTATTGGATACCCCAGCTGGACTATCTACAAATTTGAGAGAAGTGGCATCTAACCTTAATGTGATGACTTATCAAGGCAAGGATAAGCATGGAAACCAATTAGGGGATATACAAGGCATAAAAAAGAAACATGAGATACAAAAACAAAACCAGCAAGACCAATCTACAAAGCAGAATAAAAACCGACCAGATGATACACAATTTGTAGAAAGGAAACCAGGATGGAAACCAAACCCACAAAAAGAAAAGAAAAAAAAAAGAAATAGGTGGCATAAAAATAGAAATTTCTAAATCAGGCAACAGTGAAGCCAGTGACTTTAAAATATGAATGATTATGTGTAAACATGGAAGAGGCGACGTATTGGTTAATATCATCCTGAGGATTGTGGCAGATCTCTGCATGGCCGTAATTTGGGGACGTGAAACGAGCCTTAAACTGATGGATTTGAATTATCCACTTTGGAATTTCTTTTTGTGTTGATAAACATATTATATTATCTTGAATCACAAGGCAAGAGAATTATGCTGGGGCATGCAGAAGATCGGGTTGTTACCCACTACGATGATGGGAATTAATAATCCTGATGAAACCCACAATTATTACTATATGGAATATAATTATAATGTCACTCGGGTGGTTGTTTTTACTTTTATACATATAAGAAGATATTTACTACTGATGGGGGCAGATATGATTGAAGATCCTGAATAAACTGTTGCACCAGCAAGCTATGTTACCCGATTATGGATGTTGGTTCTACCAATCCAGTGGAAAGACCTCAAAGAAGATACTATATGGATTATAAATTTAAAGTCATTGTCTTTTCTTTTTTTTTTATTTAGATATAATGGAAAATATAGACATATATTTTTAAGTAGTGTGGGCAGTGAATCAAAGATATTAAGAAATGTTGTGTATGGTAATTTTGCATGATAGTGGGTGAATAAGCTAGTTAGTAGATTGATTAGTCTAAGAAAAGGGATTTTAAGTGATATATTTAGGGGAGTGGAGGAAATGGATAGAGTGGAATAAATGTTAAACTAGATTTTATGGGGAAGGCCGCTTTGAAATGTTATAGTAATATATATAGAAGATTAAATGTTAAAGTAGGACTTATCGTATAGTTAAGTGGAGAAGTTATTCTATAGTGTTATAGTATAATGTCTTTTTTTTTTCCCTTTCTTTTCTCTTTTCAGAAATGTATGGATAAAGGGGGATGTTATAATATTAATAATATTTTTAGTAAGTAAAGGTCAATATTTAGAGGAGGGAGTAAGTAATCTGTTATGAATTAGGGTTTTTTTTTGTTATGAAGAAGTCACGGGGGATGGGTGGGGAGGGGGGTTAGGGAGGGGGAGGGAGAGGGGGAAAAAAAGGGGGGAAAAATTTGTATTTGAAAACTTTTTCAATAAAAAAAAAGGAGAGAAGCAACTTAGAACTAAGGAGAAATTTCTTGACAGTTAGAACAATTAATCAGTGGAACAACTTGCCTCCAGAAGTTGCAAATGCTGCAACACTGGAAGTTTTTAAGAAGATGTTGGATAATCATTTGTCTGAAGTGGTATAGAGTTTCCTGCCTAGGCAGGGGTTTGGACTAGAAGACCTCCAAGGTCCCTTCCAACTCTGTTATTCTGTCTGTTATTATTTTTTGTAACATTGATTAGAAAATGTAAGGAAACGTCTGACCAGAAGAAAGTAAAGAGACTGCATATAAAAAAAGATTCTAATAAAAGCATTATAACTATCTGTTGAATGTTAAGAAGAGTACTTTCTTGGACTTCCGGAGGAAAAAAATGTTGAATTGAAGACAACTCCACAGAAAGTGGAGCTGACAAACAGACTGGCTTTTCATAATTCCTCTCTAAAAAAGGAGAGGACAAGATCGCACACATGTAATCTAAAGAGTTGTTTCTCATGAGGAGACTGAAAAGGTTTAAGAGCTCTGGGGGACAAGTGAATAGCCATTTTGCTAAAAATGGAAACTAAAAAGACACTGGCCTCATACACTAGGTTTTCTAATCACTTTCAGAAATTGCTTGTTAACTGCTTATTAGGAACCTTGGGATCAACAGGTTTATAGCACTGGGTGAGTTTCCTTCAATCCTTAGCAAAAGAAATTGGAATAAAAATTTAAGGGTTTTAAAAAAGATTTCCTGAACAAACAGCAAAGGGGCAATTAAAACTAAAATTTTAGAAAGTTACAAAAGGATTGAGGGTCCAGATAAATTTGACATAAGATTTTGGAATTAATTATAAAGAATCCTTCCCATGGGAAAATGCTTTTGTTTTGAATTCTTTTTTAAAAAAACTAAGAGTTTAAAAATTGGACACCAGAGGGAATAGAAGGATCAAAAGATTACAATTAAAGGAGAAGAACATTTCAACTTGACTTACTAATACAGAATATTTTAAATTTGGACATTGTCAGACCTGGGTAAATGAGACAGGAAATGCTACTAGATGAACTAGATCTACTTTATTGTAAGCCTACATTAACAGAACGTTAGAAATCTGAATGTACAAACTTCTTGCTGCCACTTTTAACAATCTGATCAATTAGGAAGGGTCTTTCTTAGATTTCTTTCTCTGAATGTTAAGCAGCTGAGGACTCCCCCTTCTCTTGTTCTGATTGTTCCCTAGGAAGCATTGCTTTCCCGTGTCCCCCAAGGTCATCCACATATGCCATTTTAGATATATTGAAGAATATTTTTTTAAAAATAGAAGTAAATTTTAAGAGTATCCGCCTCTATAGGTAGACTCTGTTTAAAAGATGCTATCAAAGAGGAACAAAGGTTACCTGACACAATTGAGCCTAATTTAAAAATGGATTTAAAAATGACGGGCTACAAGAATGACTTATTACACTGGATAAACAAACCAAGAGAGTCACCTGAATAATTTTCCTATATTGGATTTATAAAAGAGGCTTGTTGAAGTTTTGAAGAATTTTGTGAGAAAGGACAAAGAAAAAGTAAAAATAAAAACAAGTGCTGTGACATTATTTGAAGGGACTAAAAATCAAGATTGTTAGAAATAAATGATCAAGATTAAAATAGATTTGTTGTTGTCTGGTAATGAACTTAATGAACTTCTGCTTAACATCAAGAGTGAAATGATGACATTTTATGGATTTGTTTATTGATAAAGAGATGGATATGAGAAGAAGAGGTCATTTGTTGTATTTTAAGAGAAGGTGATAAGTTACTAAAATTGTTTTTATTAGTATTTGTTGTATATTATAAACTTTAATAAAATTAGCATTAAAAAAATAGAGAACTTCCTTGTATTCCCTGTATTTAATATCTTTGTCTGTTTATATTATTCCAGGTCATCTCAGTTTAAAGAGGAGCCTAAGAGCTATGTAGGGACCAACATAAGAAAGGTAAGATCCAAACAGTGAATATTGCTTTACTTTTAAGTGCACTTGCACTCTCTTGTTCCTCCTCCTTGTCATATTTGTTGCAAGAGCTATTTATTTAGCTGTATGTGCCATTTGACATATGTAGTATTTCTGATAGATGGATGGATTGATAGGGTGCCTTGGTATTGATTCTTAGCAGATACATAAAATTTCTCCATGAGGATCTCTCCCTAACTTGAGTTTTCAGGTGTTCCAGCACCCTGCCCATCACCACTGTAACTGAGTTCATCCAGTTTGCTGCTAGTTATCCTCTTTCACCTTTCTTTTCACATTTCCATTAAATATTTCTCCAGAAAGCTAGGTCTACATATAATGTATCTGAAGTAGTCATTATATGTCTTGAGTGAGAATTCTGGGTTTATTTGTTTGTTTGTTTTCTTGGCTGTCCACAGTATTCTCAGGAGTTTTCTTCAACACCAACGTTCAAAACAATTAATATTCTTTATATTCTGCTTCTTCAACTTTCACTACCATAGAATGTCACGGGGAATACCATTGCTTGCACTGGTCATCTTTGTAGGTATCAAGGTATCTGAATATCTTCCTAAAGTATTCATAGTTACTAAATGGCAGTCTGCAGTGTATTTCTTGATTGTTCATTCATTTGCACTTGATGGTTGATCCTATCTACCAATTTGATATCTTCATTCTGAGACAGTTCTGAGACTGATTGTTATGCTGTCATTTGTTTGGTCTTTATATTTATTTTATTATGAGTTTTATTGCTGCCCATTTTAATCTCTGGGTGGTTATGGGAGGCAAGTCATGAAGTAAAGTGCCTAGAGAAGCCTTGTTTTTATGGAGCTGCCTACAACTTTAACTCAGAAAGAAGAATGGGTGTTTTTTAAAAATAAATATATTAAACTTATCAAAATATAAAATCAAACGAAAATGAAAATAGTGGAAAATAGGGAAGGGAAAAGGAGAAGTATAGGGTAAAGGAATATGTTCTGTCCCCGTCGCACGCACGCACGCACACAAACAGACAGCCAGGAGTTAATGAATCAAACAGTCAGGAATTCCTTTAAGATAACAGTCTTGGCAGCAACCCATGAACTGCCTGCCAAGAGATTTTACTCACTAAGGGAGGTTTTTTCTCCTCAGTCCGATATATCAAATTAATTCCACAAAGCAAAGAATTGTCAAAGTCCAGTCCGAAGAAATCCAAAAAGAGATTCTAACAGGGTTCTAGAAACACGATATGACTTCGAGTTTTTCAATTTGTCTGTCACAAGGCCTGAATAGCCGAAACACCCCCTTTTATCCCTTGTGGGGTGTGGTCCAGTGACTCAGCTCAATCTCTGGCCTGCCCACGCCTCTTTCTCTGCTGCGCACGCTTATCCTTCCGACGCTGTCTGGGATCCAGCCAAAACTCATCCTCCTCACTCTCTATCTGCGGCTGCTCCGAAGTGCCTTGCTCCTGGCATATCTCTTGGCCTGCGGAGGAAACCTGAGGCATTGCCAGAGAGGAGGGTCCTGGAGAGGGAGGCCTTGCAAAATCCTCTCCTTCACCTTCTGAGTCCTCTCCCTCTGTTAGGACAGGCTCGGGGGTCGGAGTCACAACAGAGTAAAAGGAAAGAAAAGCATTGACTTTCGACTATCACAGTAGAATGAAATAATAATATTACAGCCTCAACTTCACTCAGGGACCAAAGTTTGTGGTCATAATTGTGGTTGTAAGTTGAGGACTCCCTGTAATCAGCTGGCAAGATTTTTGTAAATGGGCACTATGATGCTAGGTTCAGTGCTCTGGGATTTCTGCAGTGTGATCAATCTAAGTAAATGAAGGCAAGAACTGAGGTCTATCTTTCCAAATTGTTCGGTAATATTTCAGCAGTGATTAAAATCATTGCTTGGTGATTTATTAGACTTAAGCTGATTTATAAGGGCCTTCTTTTCAGCACTTAAAACTGAGATCCAATTGGAGAGAAAGTTAACATTGAAATTTAGTTCGAATTTAGGAGAATTAGATAGTGGTCGTCCTACACAGACGAAGGTAAAAGGTTGGGAAATGTAAGGGCCTATCAGTGGGGTAGGAAGCGATTAGGCATCAGAATAAAATGGGATTTCTATTTTGAGTTTCAGTTGCTGCCAGGAAGCCTTATTAAATTATCTTTTCTTGCTTCGTAATTGATGCTTGTATTGGTTTTTTCATGGACATAAAGTCCTGCGGGGGGAGGGGGTGCTCAACTGAATTTTCTTTACTTAATTTGAATTTCCTAATCAATTTTCTTTGCGGCACAAAACACTCTATGTCAAACCAAGGCTAAGAGGAATGAGCCTGTTTCCCCCCCTCTTCCTCAGTATCTGAATGGCTGGAGTAACTGAATGAGTTTAGTAAATATCTGCAGAAGGGAATTCCCAGAAAACTCTTTAACATATAATAAAGTTAGTTAGTTAGTTAGCTTTATTAGCCTATAGGCCAATGATGGCTAACCTTTTTGCCACTGCGTGCCAGAAGTGTGGGGAGTGGGGGGGTCACGCATGCGCATACCCACACCCATAATTCAACCCCCCCACATGCACATGTGACCTCCCTGAGCGACCCCTGCTTTTGGTATGCGATGGCAAAAGGGTTACCGGTGGGCCCAGTAGGCCTATTTTTTGCCCTCCCCAGGCTCCAGAGGCTTTCTTGGAGCCTAGGGAGGGTGAAAACGGCCTCCCCCCTGCCCGCCCGGAGGCCCTCTAGAGGCTGGAAACGGCTTGTTTCCTGACTTCCAGTGGGCCCGGAAGGCCCAAAAATCAGCTGGCCAGCGCACATATGTGCGCTGGAGCTGAGCTAGGGCAACGCTCACGTGCCCACAGATATGGCTCCATGTGCCACCTGTGGCACACGTGCCATAGGTTCACTATCACGGCTAGAGGCCATATCAAAGCACAAGGTGTAAACACATATCACCATTAAAATCTTATACAAACAGTTTAAAATAAAAGTAGATAAAATACAATAGTTATAGGATTAGGTACAATATGATTTGATAGATATATAAAATAGAGTAAAATGACATAAAATTATATTTCAGTGTCACCCTTGCAATCTACCCCAATCGGTCCCACGTATGCAGACCTCAACCGAACCATTTTGTTTAAGTACTGTGCTGTGTTAAATGTTATTTTCAGGTTCTGGCCATACATAAAGTAAGTTGTTTTGATATGGGGATCCCAATGGGTCCTTCATTTGGTATATGGACCAAGGTACCTGTCTCTCACCCCCTTATACAAGCACCAATCAAATAGGATGTGAGCCAGGTCTTCTACTTCTGCCGCTGCGCAAATGCAGAGATGCTCATTGTAGAAGAAGAACAAGCAGGCTTTAGACAAAGCCAATCCACTATTGATATAATAAAGTGAAATTGCAACTTCTTTCTGAAGCAGTTAAGAAGTTTGCTCATTGAGTTGCTAAATCCATTTGGTACAACTAATCCTGGCTCTAAATCTAGTTCTAAGTTGAAGTACGTGTTCAGGAAGAAATTGCTGAATACGTTTTAATTGTACCAGCAGGAGGATGGTCATGGTCAAGTCAATTATCTAGACAATTTTTTTATACAAGAACAATTATATTCTATGAGATTAAAGTATAATCAATGAAGGAATGCCTTAATGGAAAAACTTGCAAGGGAAATCATTACTGATCCATCGAAAAGATATACCGTGTTTCTCTGAAAATAAGCCCTCCCCCCAAAATAAACCCTCCCCCCAAAAAAACCCTCATCTGAAAATAAGCCCTCCCCAGAAATATTTAAATGCATGCGCAGCCGGTCCCCGCCATTTCTTATGGTTAGGGTTAGGGAGACAGAGCTGGAAATCAGGTAAGACAGCAAGAGGAGCCCCATCTTGCTCCACGCACCCCAAAATAATAAGACCTCCCCGAAAAAAGGGCCAAGCGCTTATTTCAGGGTTCAAAAAAATATAAGATGGGGTCTTATTTTTGGGGAAACATGGGTAATTTTAATTTATTGTTGTAATAGCTCCTTGTAATCCCATTTTGAATCTTGAGCTGCTTTTCCTTTTAGGATTTCCGTCCATGGAATCCTTCCTAATCTCTTTCTTAATTGTTGAATTTTGTAAGTTTTTTATTTTTTACAAACATATCAATGTGTGAACAGTGTGGCACCTGAGTGTCAGACATCTTGATACAAATAAAATAGTATTTATCATATTTGTTTCATTTAATAATCTTATATAATTCTAGTAATAAAACACATATTTTTATTAAATTATAATCTTTCATTATTTAATTATTCAGTATTTCAATGTGTTATTTTTATGCCAATCACCCTATTCTAATTATTGTACCTTTTAATATAAATAGAATATTATTAATTATATTTATTACATTTAGCAAGTTTATATAATTCTAATAATAATACATTTGTGTTAAATTAAAATCTTCCATTTTCTTATTCAATTTATAATTCAACTTCATTATTTAATTATTCAATATTTCATTGTTATTTTTATGTTAATCACGCATGTCATACATTTTAATACAAATAAAATATTTTTGAACGTATTTGTTACATTTGTAACAAACATACATGTCTTCATATTGAATTTTAATCTTTCATTATTTGTTTAATCAATAGTTCAATATATTATTTTTGTGCCAGTCACCATATTATTTAAGTATACTTAATTATACTGTCATTCAAATTCTAATTTCCCCTCTTATTATTACTTCTCATTATATAACCTACTCTTATCCCTATCTCTTTCCCAAAAAAATCTTCCTGATTCCAGTTCTTTTTTAATTTCCTTGGAGTACTCTCCCCTTGGCTTATGTCATCAATCCTTATTATTTTTATTATTATCTCCTTCTTAGCATCTTGTTTCATTTGTTTTGTCTCTTCCGTTTTTTCATCTGTTCTTTCAGTTGGCTCCTCCTCTTCCTGGGCATCTTGATCACTCATTGTCCTTTGTGTTATATTTCCCAGCATTCCGTCTATGCTCTCCACTCGGTT